CTCAGATGGTTAACTGCCTGCCTTCGGCTCAGGTCATGATCTCAGCATCCTGGGATCAAGTTCTGCATCGGTCTCCCTGCTCAGTGAGGAGTCTGGGTCTCCCTCTCCCTCTGCTTCTCCCCCTGCTCATGCTGTCTCTCATACTCTCTGTCTCTCTTTCTGTCAAATAAATAAATAAAATCTTTAAATATTTTATTTATTTTAGAGAGAGAGAGAATGTGGGGGGAGGGGCAGAAGGAGAGAGAGAATCTCAGGCAGACTCCTCACTGAGCGCAGAGCTTGTTATAGGGCTCGATTTCACAACCCTGATATCATGACCTGGGCCAAAACCAAGAGCTGGCCCCTTAACCTACTGAACCATCCAGGCACTCCTAGGAATCCCAGATATCTTTAACACTCCCTCTTTCTTCTTGTACTTCTGTGTTTTCCTAAAAGTTGTCATTAATTTTGTTTCCTTGATGCTACCCCACTGGGGACAGCAGCTGCTACCAGTTCTGGTCATACTGGGAACAATGACTGGAAGAGGTTGGTAAGAAGATGAAGTAATTTGTCGAACAGTAAAATGCACTTTTTCTCAGAGTAGATCTTGCTTGTTTTTACCATGGTGCCGCCTGCATTTTCCAGCAAAACAGTTGGTTAGGTTGTAAACAAACACAGGGGAGATGGGAGTGGAGACAGGCTCCAGTCTTTACCCCACTGGGAACTTTGCACCTCCGTGGGAAAACACACATCTTCCTTCTTCCACATGTGGGCACCTCCCAATGAATGGGCGTGGTGAGGCTCATCTCTGAGGTGTCAGAGGCGAACGGACAGAAGAAAGACACCACTCAGGGGCGCCTGGGTGGCTCAGTCTGTTGTGCGTCCAATTCTCAGTCTCAGCTCAGGTCCTGATCTCACGGGTCATGGGATCAAGAGCCAAGTCAGACTCCCTGCTCAGTGCAACATCTGCTTGAGATTTTCTCTCCCCCTCCCTCTGCCCCTCCCACTTGTGCTCTCTCTCTCTCTCTCTGAAATAAATAAATCTTGGAAAAAAAAAAAAGAATGACACCAATCAGAAGCTTTTATCAAAAAAAAAAAAAAAGAAAGAAAGAAAAAGAAGAAGAAGAAGAAGCTTTTATCAAATTCTCCACTGAGTATGATGCTGTATAGGACACTGTCCAATCCTAAAATCTGAAAATCCTAGGCCTTGTCATCTAAGTGTTCCTAAATAGTGCCTAGCAGACCAGAGACAAAGCTTAATGAACCTCAGCCACAGACTCAAGAAGCCAAACATTCAATATTATGTACAAATAAGGAAAAGTGACACTTAATTTAGGGTTGGCAATTACAGTCTATTAGCTGTGGCTAGTGATGTCCCTGTGCCAGACCACAGTCTGAGAAGATCGGAGGGGCCGGGACTGGGTTCACCAGCATCCAGCAACAGAGCCTGATGCTTGACACACATTTGTGTTAGGCATTTTCATGAACGTGATCTGATTTAATTTTCATAACAATCCCATTTCACAGATGACAAAACTGAGGTGCAGAACACACTAAAAAGAATCCCAGAGCTCTGGGTGACCCCGGCAGGGTGCCCAAGCTCCTCTCTCTTACCCTCCTGCTTGTCGTGACGTGACTCTGTATCCCCAGAGTGAGCCAGGAGCTCGCCACCTTAAGCCGGCTGGCAGGCGTGTCTGCACAGCTGCTACAGGCAAGACAAGATTTCTTGAAATATCCGATTCCAGGAGCTGCCAGGACAGGATGACAGAAGAGCAGCAAACCAGGCACAGGGTGTGGCTTGGGGAAGGGAGAGGCCCAGACAGACCCTGAGTCTCTCTGTAGCAGAGAGAGACAGAGCGAGAGCTGGAGAGGGTAGGGCGCTCTGAGGAGGGCTGGGAAGCCCAATGGGATTTTGCAGCCGGTTTGGGAGGCCAGCCCTTCCCCGGGGCACAGGGTGGGTCCGCATCTGTAAGAAGGGTGTAGAGTACATTACATTCATGGCTGCAAATGGGCCCAATTTTTCCCAAACTCTTCTTTCCTCTGGCCAGCAGGGCCCAAGAGAAAGTGTTCTGATGTTCCACGGTGGAGGGGGAACAGGCTCCCTGCTGGGCACAGGTGTCTCACTCTCCTGTGATGTGCGCCTGGCCCTGGGCGCTGGGTCTGTGATTCTGCTCTTAGTGACTCTCCTGGCCTGGGGCCCCAGAACTCAGCCCAAAAGGGGCCTGGAGCAGATGGAGTGTGAGTGGTTTCCACAGCTTGTTGCCCACATGCCACCAACCAGCCTCGATGTGTTCATGCGCTTGGTGGGAGGCCTCTCTTGTTTTCAACAATTCTCTTCACCTGCCTCCTACATCCGTAGCTCTGGCACCCCCCAGACCCAAACACAGCTAGGGAATCCAGGCGAGGAGTTGTAAAGTGCCCGACATTGGACACAGTCCATGTTCAGGCTCGGGGTTCTATTTTCCTAAATAAATGAAAAAAACCTTCAGAGTAAAATGAGACTTCCAAATTTGGGGGCGGGGGGACAAAAAAATCTAAAGAGTATTTACCTCCCCAAAGTGACTCCCTCCTGAATGCCAGAAGCTTAAGGTAAACTCAAAATGATCAGGATCAGAAAATTCTTTCCTTTGCCCTCCCCCACCCCTCCACCTCCCAACCCCCAGAGAAACAGCCCTACAGCAACCCGCCAGGTCCTCCAGGCCCAGTGGGCGGGCAAGGTGACAGGGGACAGCCCCTCCCACTTTCCCTACACAATTGTCCCTCAATGTCTGCAGCATTGCAAAGGGACCCCACCGCTCCCAGGCCAGCCCTTCCGGAGAGAGATAATAAATCCCCCCAGCAGAAGGGGGGATTTATTAAATTCAACAGATAATTATTGAACCCTGCGACACACCCAAGACATTGAAATAAAACAGGAAAAATCCTCATTTCCAAAAAATTCTGTTCTGCGCTGGGGGGCTGGCTGCCATCAGTGAGCTCTCTCCAGTTTTGCCAGGAACATATGAGATCACTGAGCCCTTCCAGGAGGTAAGAAAATCACTCACCTCCTTCATGGGGAACAGTTGGGGGCAGGGGATGGAGCCTGGGCTCTGAGTGTGACAGCTGCCCCACTTACTGTCTGAATGACTTGAAAAAGTCAAACTACTACCTCCAAGCCTCAGTCTTCTTACCTGCAAAATGGGAAAACAGCACCTACTTTGCAAAGATGGCTGTGACATCTCTATGCCTCTATGCCCAGTCCTCACCACCTCATCTCTCTGCCTCTATGCCCAGCCCTCACCACCTCAGCTACCTTGGAACCAACACTGGACACAGACATGACTACTGCACAAGAGGACACAATCCAAGATGGCAGTTCTCACCTTGGCTACACGGGGAACTTTCAAAAACCCGGATGCCCAGGCCACATGGCAGGCTGCTATGAAGCCCAGGTGTCAGGTTTTCACAAAGCTCCCTGAGAGATTCCAGTGGGCAGCCAAGGTCAACAGCCACTGATCCAGCAGGAAAGAGAAGTGGAATTATTTCAACTCTACAGAAAGCTGGGCGAGGTTATTATTACTCACTGTTAATTATAATATTATGCCCTGTACAATTTGAGGTTTACAAATGACATGTTATATTTATTCATAAATTTATACATTGCTAAATAGTTTCAAATTTATGATCAAATTTCATCTTCAGAGAAATTTTTCTAAAGATTTTATGGATTTATTTGAGAGTGAGAGAGAGAGAAAGAGCACCAGCCCACGGAATAGGCAGAGGGAGAGGGAGAAGCAGACTCCGCTGAGCAGGGAGCCCAATGCGGGGCTCGATCCCAGGACCCCAGGATCAAGACCTGAGCCCAAGGCAGATGCTTAACAGACTGAGCTGCCCATGCATCCCTTCAGAGAAATGTTAAAGCTGAGAAACTGAGGCCTGGAGAATTTATCTACCAGCAGAAGGTGTCAAGTGAATGGACAAACAGGTCCAGAGTCAATATCTGACTTGAAGCCCTCTCCATCCACCCTGTCCCCGCATCCCCATTGATCTCTACGTCGAGCTATGGTCTAGACCCATAGGCTGAGTGCCAGACCCTGGGTCCAGATGTCCCCTCAGTATCCCCCCACACACACACACAATGTTAGCACCCAGGCAGTTCAAACTGCCCAGCACTGCTCAAGACCCCTCCCTTGTTTCCCATCTGTGCACAGGCATTCAAGTCTCAGGCACCCCTTCACCTGCATCTGGTGGGTGGACTTGGCCATGCCCAAGATGCCTCCTGAACCTGCCCACTTTCCATTAACCTCGCCTCCACTGCCTGGTCACTGCTTCTACCTGGACATTTCCAATAGCCCGCTGGTCATCCCCATTCCCCCTTCGCCCTTCCAGTTCCTGCTTCTGGCCTGTCCGCTGGCCTCACTGAGGTCTGGGAGCTGGGCAGGGTTTCTTCGTGTAGAACGGCGAGCATTCTGGAGTGTCTAACAGGTAGAGCCCCATACAAGAGCGCGTGCATGCACATGTGCACCCCAAATCTGCCTGCTCCCAGGGCGTCAGACACGGGGATCACTTTGTGTAACAAACCCCTTCCGCAAAGGGCTCAAGAAAACATTCAAACATAAGTGTGTGGCCTGCCTTCTGCATCGCGGAACCACAGGCAGGTCCTGTAACTCCTCTTACATCTCACCACTAACATGAGGACAGGAACGCCTACTCGCGGGGATGCTGAGATAATGAAACAGACCACGCACCCTATGCCTGGCGAGCATCACCTGTTGGTAGGACGCTGAGAAGGCCTATGCTTCTCAAATGGGAGAAAGGGAGGAGGAAGAAAGGTCAGAGGTATTTCCCGGAGCGTGGGCATTCACATCACTATATCTTGGCAACAGGCGGTGAAACCGTGACGTCCTCCCCCAGGTGAGGCTCGGCGGCTGGCCAGGGTTCCCCTTCCAATACGTGGCTAGGGCTGGGTCCACAGACTCTCTGCCCTCCAGAGTCTGCAGGAGCATGTTCCACGGAGGTTCCACTGACATCTCCATTTCCAGGGGATGAACAATCAGTACGTCCGCCGGGAGGTCTTCTGCGGGAACACCTGTCACGAGCTCAAGCGCTTCTGGGAGCGGGAGATTGGCAAGCAGACCTACTACCGGGAATACGAGGAATATCGCCTGGGAAGAAGTGCCCTGAGAAAGTATGTGGCTCCTTTGTCTACTTTTTTTTCAAATTAGTTTTTAAAAATAGACTTTATTTTGGGGGCATCTGAGTGGCTCAGTCCATTAAGCATCCGCCTCTTGATGTCAGCTCAGGTCATGATCTCAGGGTCATGGAACGGAGCCCCTGGTGGGAGTCTGCTTAAGATTCTCCCTCTCCTTCTGCCCCTACCCCCCATTCATGCACGTGGGTGCTCTCGCTCTAAAATAAATAAATAAAATCTTTTAAAAAATAAAAATAGACTTTACTTTTTAGGGCAGTTTTAGGTACACAGCAAAATTAAGTAGAAAGTAGAATTCGCATAGATCCCACACCCCGCACACAACCTCCCCACCATCAATGTCCCCACCACAAACGCATCACCACCTTTGTTTATTTTCTTTTTTAAGAACAAAACGGATTTCCCTGGAAGAATGCCAGACTGGCGTCTTAGAGGACATAATTATTTCTATTTTCCTTGCATATGTTCCTGCCATCACCTCTGGTTGTGGGCAGTAATTTTAACCATTCTTGCACATTAACAAATGGACACTTTGATGCATATCTTTGTAAATGGAAAAATCTCTCTTCTCTGTCCACGTTTCTAGGGCACAAGGTTTGCACTAAATTTGGGGAACAGGTTAGCAGATGTGTCCATGAAAAGCAGCCAAGCAAAGGAGAGAGTGATCGATACTTAGTGCTCATTTGGGTGAAGACACAGGAGGCCCCGCAGAGTTCTCTGAGGGAGGCCCATGAGCTGTCACCCCTCTAATGCCCATCCCTGCGCCGGCCACATGCCAGTCTGCCCCCTGTAGAGCAGTAACGAACTTGGGCAAACCGGGGTTGCCGTGGCTGTGGGAACAGGGGCAGCCCACCACCCTCACACACTGCCTTCACTTCAGGGAGCCAGTGAGGGACCAGCTCTTCTGGGTCCTCTGTGCCCTCATGGAACGGCTCAGCTGCTGTCTGTTTGCAAAGGGCACAACCAGGGGTGGTGGGACAGCTGTGTGCTGGCCTGACAGCAGGGCTATGACTCCACCCGAGCATGCTTGCTGGGCTGATGATATGCACCAGTTCGCACCACTGAAACTCACAGTTGCCTTCCAAACTCCCTCCTGAGCCCTAGACAGGAACCAGCCTCTTCCACACGTGGAGACCTGCTTGGCTATATTCCTGACCCCAGGCAAGGAGGAGAAGCAGGCTGTCCTAGCTGCCGGAGGGTCGTGTTAGGGAGTATCCTCCAGGGATTCTCTAAGAAACTGAGGTGGATGGACAGTTAGTCATTTCTGTGGTCCCTGCTGTCTCCCTTCCCCAGGCCAGGCCACTCAGCATGCTGCCCACGCTGCGCATAGGTGTGCATCCCCACCGCGCATAGCCTTGCGTCCCTCCCCTCCCCCCCGCCGCCCCGGGGAACACGCAGAAGGTCTCAGGTGCAGGAGAGCTGTTTGAAGAAGATGCAGAAATCGAGGTGCATGCCGAGGGGAGAGCAAATCAGCTCTGAAACAAACCTCAGTTCGTTAAAAATATGAAAATATATGTGCACGGTGTCCCACCCATGCACTTAACACAAGACTGCAGGAAATAAGATTTCTGCTTTTCCCCTTCCCATTTGAACCACGCACCTCCCTCCGGAGGGTCTCTGCTCTCACCCACTAATCCGCCTTGTCCCTCCACAAAGTGGAAAAGACCGTCCCAGCTCATTAGGTGGTTGCCAGGCAGGGACAGGAACACATGCCTAAGGTCTGGTCCCCTGCATCCTCAGTTCAACCACTTAGTTCAGGATTAAAGGCAGCGGAGGCAGAACGCCAGGGTGACAGATTTCCCTGTGCCTTGGTTCTCCTTGTTACTTTTACCACAGACACTAAGAGGAAAGGGCTATTGGAGAGTCCTCGCCCTCCATCAGACGGGAGCGGGCGGTCACTATTGTTGTTCAAGTGCTCCATGGCCTGACTGATGTCTTGCTTGTTCTCTCGACAACTGGAAAATGGTTATGGAAATCTTCAGCCTTAATTGCAGATTTGTCTGTTTCTCTTTACAGCTCTGTCTCATTTCACTCCGTGTATTTTGAAGCTCTGTTTTATTACAAACACTTAGGATTGTTATATTCTCTTGAAAAATTGACCCCCTTATTGCAAAAAAAAAAAAAAAAAAAAAAAAAAACCCTTTCTCTCTGGTAATGTTCTTGCCTTTGAAATCTACCTTGTCTGGCTTGACTACAACTACTTGGCTTTCTTTGATTGGGGTTAAGATGGAATCTATTTCCATCCTTTGCTACAGGATTTCTGTTCCCTTAGTGCCCACGGTTCTTAGTCACACCCCCTGGAAGAATGAAGTAGTAGATCAGACAAAGAGTGGTGGGCAGCAAAGCAAAGTTTATTGAGCCATAGTATAAAGCTCCCGGAGAGGGAGGGGACCCAGGAGGGTTGCCGTTTGGGCATTCAAATCTATGGGGTTAAAAAACTCTTTGGAGGAACTATCTTGAGCATCCTGAGTGTGGGTCCCTGTGGATTGGCCGCTAAGCTGTGCCAGTCAGGGCTTTGCTCATGTACCTGTCTACCCATGGGGTCATTGTTCCTGTGTTGCAAGTCTTTGGGGCTGACATCTGGAGATGAACTGCCTCACCTTGCGATAGTGACCAATGTTGTTTTATTTCAGGATGTTTAGCAAGTGACTCCCACAGAGGCTGCTGGACAGGATGCTAGCATGGTCTTGTCTGAGCTGTCCCAGCTTCTTTTGCTTTCTTGCTGGGGACCCTGGACCCAACTCCCTAAGTGTCCAGTTAACTCCTAACACTTTTAATTTTAACCTATTGCTATCTTCATATCAAAAGTGATTTTCTTGCAGGCGACATCTATTTCAACATTGGTTTTTATTCAATTTAACGATCCTGCCTTTTTTTTTTTTAAGGAATATTTATTTAATTGATTATTTGACAAAGAGAGACACAGCAAGAGAGGGAACACAAGCAGGAGGAGTGGGAGAGGGAGAAGCAGGCTTCCTGCCGAGCTGGGAGCCCAATGTGGGCCTCGATCCCAGCACTCTGAGATCGTGACCTGAGCCAAAGGCAGATGCTTAATGACTGAGCCACCCGGCACTCCTGATGATCCTGCATTTTAATCGAGTGGCTCACATCATTAACGCTACCTGGTGCCATTGGGTTTAAATCTGCCATCTTGTTATCTCCTGTTCTCTCATCTGTTCTTCAGTCCTTTCCTTTTCTGCCTTCTTTGGGGTTAATTATTTGTCGTGATTTCATGTCATCTCCTCTGTCGGCTTTGCCACAATATCTCCTGGTGTTATTTTAGGGGTTGCTTTAGGGTTTCTGTCACGGTGTGCCTTCTAGTGCCACATGGTCCCCTGTAGGGCACGAGAGGCTTCTAGCCACACAACCCCCCACTGCTCACCTCCTGGCCTTTGTGCAAAGGAGGGCTCTGCTTCCACATTTGTCATAAACCCCACACAGCATCATTAACAGGTTTGCTCTCAGACACCGATTACCTTTTAGGGAGAATCAAGTTGTGAGGGAAAATGACTAACATACCCACACAGTCACCTTCTCAGGGGCCCTTCCCTCCATCCTTCAGATTCCGATTTCTACCTGGAGTCATTCTCCCTCCGCTTGATGGATTTCCTTTAACTTGTCCTGTAGGGACAGGCTGCTGGTGATTAATTCTTTCAGTTTTTGTATGGCTGAGGACATCTTTATTTCACCTCTTTTTTTTTTTTTGAAAGATAGCTTGGCTGAGTAAACAATTCTAGATGCACAGAGGTTTCCCCCCGCCCTGTACTGTGTTTTTTTTTTCCTTCACTTTTAAGGAATCTCTACACCCAGCATGAGGCTCAAACCCCCAACCCCCAAGATCAAGAGTAAGTTGCGTGTTCTACCCACTGAACCAGCCAGGCGCCCCTCTCCCTGTACTTGAAAGACATTGCACTCTCAAAGGAAAAGTTTGAAGGATTAAGACTAGACGAGGCTGGGCAGAAGTGAGAGCTAAAGATATACCTATAAAATATAAAATATGCATATATTTAAATTTCAAGTCCTCTGCATACCTTTTAAAACCTGAATACGCATGCACACGCGCGCGCGCATACACACACACACACACACACACACAGATACACCGTCAGGATGGGGAAGGCATCCCCAGACCAAGCACCACGGACATGGTTGCTCTGCTTGCTGTTTGGTTTCTATTTTCAGGCTCAGAGAGGAATGGAGGCAGAGACTGGAAGCAAAGCTAAGGTTACGGAACAATCTAGATGAGACCGAAAAGCAGGCAAACATGGGCCGGGAGCTTCTTGCTTCGCTGACACAAGAGGATTCAAAGCACTGAGGTGGTTCTACCAGGAAAAGTCAGTGCAAGTGCCTGAGTCCCTGAGCTATGCCAGATGGATGTCACACTCCCCCCGACCTGTGACGGATCTACCGGCTCATGCCCCCCACCCCGCCCCAGGCCCAAGGTGGGAATGATCAGCCAAGTCAGCCCGTTCCACATGGGCCCAGGATATTAGCCCAAGTATCCCTAAAGACGAGATTATTTCATACCAGAGCTCCATGCAGCATTCTTTATTTGCACATAATTAATTACCTCCTAATTTTAAAGTCTACATATTTTAAATTCTAAGCACATGCCAGGGGTGACAGTGAGGGGGGACGGTTTGGGAGCTGATCTTCATGGTCGCACTCTAAACATTGCTCACCAGTGTCTTTCCACATCTCTCCTAGAAACAGTTTCCCATGATCCTTTCTCTTATTTTCCTTTTATGAGAAGGGAAACGTACCCGTCTGCAGAAGTAGCTGTATCGTAAATAGCTATAAAAATAAGGTTTTGCCAAGAAACTGATCTAATGTTATTGCTCCTTCATGGGAGTTTAATTGGTTCCCTCAAAGCACGGTTGCTGGAACTGTTCGATCGGATCAGGATAATTTTAATAAAGCTTGGTTGTCCGGGAACCACGGATGTGCGTGCTCTGTGTTTCATGGCTTATTTTAAATCCCCACATGCTTGCACTGGCCAGCTCTCTGTCAGCTCAGCTCACATGTATCTGGCCATCCCAGCAAAGTGTTTGCCATCTACGTTCTAGACTTTGAAATGTCATGGTCACTCCCCAGCCTTCTCCCGGATCCCCAGTAGAGGATTGCTCTTCCCCAAAGCACGAACTGAAATTGGGCCTTGGCAACAGTTTCTAGCCAAGATAAGGGCTCTGAGGACCATGTTGTGAAGTATCTGGAAGCTGTAGGCTATACAAGCACAGACAGCAAAGCAGGGGCAATTCTGGATAGCGGCAAGTGTGGCCATCTCGTGCTCTAAGGGCCCCAGTGTGCAGGGCAATGCTTCCATCCACATCCCCAGGGAGCCCAGAAGGCAATGGGAGCCCCCCAGAAGACGAGAAGGGTTTTTCCCCAGGTCCCATGCTCCCCTGGCCCAGCAAACAGGGCTCAGAGCCCTTCCTCCCACCCACGGTGTCTCATTCAACGTGGGATTCAAGTCAAATAATAAACTATGAAGGCCAGCTGGGCTCAGGCAAGAGCATTGTGATGGAAGAGGAATTCCTGCTGAGTAGGAGGAAGATAGGAATTAAACAGAGGGAGAAGTGAGGTCAAGGCTTGCAGGCAGGGGACTCTCAGAGGCATGGGCCTGCCATCATGAACTACAATGGGATCCAAGCGCAGATGGAGATTCGTTCATTGGCCCATTTGCCGCACACCAGTCACGGTGCTGGACAGCCAGAGGACAGCAGAGAAACCCAGAGCATTGGCTCTGGAGGCCACAGTCTGACAAAGATAGCAGGAAGTTCAAGGCCATTGACTGTAAGGGACTTTCACACTGGGAACCATGGAAGGCAAAGCTGCCCCACAATTCTAGTCTAGGGAGGGCTTCTTAAGAGCAGGCTAGTAAAGGAAACGTGACCCAGGTGAAGGTAAGGTTCAGGGCTGGTGGGTCCTGGTGGCTTTGGGGGAATACATTTAGCAACACAAGAGTGGGAGTGAGGATAAGGTGTGAGTCTGCAGAAATACCCCCCAGGGCCTCATTAGCTGGGAGACTTGGAGCTTCTCCCAAGGGCATGGAAAGCCACCGAAGGGTGTGGGCAGGGGAGGGTCATAATGGCCTGGGTTCTGAAGGGTTACCCTACACCGAAAGGTAGGAGGAGAGAGGTGGGAAGGCCAGCCAGGAACCTCTGCAGATGCCTCCCAAGAGGCAAGACGGTCTACACACTAAGGCCTTGGTGCCCTGGCAGCAGGGACTGCTGAAGAAAGGGGGAAAGAAGCATGAGGGCCATTTTCTCATAGTACTGGGGGCTGGAAGTCCAAGATCAAAGCTCCAACATCTCAGTTCTGGTGAGGGCTCTTTCCTGCCTTGCTGACTGCTACCTTCTCAGTGTCCTCACAGGGCATGGGGTGGGAGGGGAATGCTCTCTGAGGCCTCTTCTTAGGACAGTGATCCCATCATGAGGGCCTCACCCTCTTGATCTTATCCAAATCTAATGAACTCCCAAGGGCTCCTTTCCAAAACCCATCACGGGAGGGGTTAGGGCTTCAACATATGAATTTGGGGAGCTAGGGAGGGGGAGAGGACACAAATTCATAGCAGAATGGGCTGCTTTAAGTATCTAGTCCTGGGGGCGCCTGGGTGGTTCAGTGGGTTAAAGCCTCTGCCTTCGGCTCAGGTCATGATCTCAGGGTCCTGGGATCAAGCCCCGCATCGCATTGGGCTCTCTGCTCAGCAGGGAGCCTGCTTCCCTTCCTCTCTCTCTGCCTGCCTCTCTGCCTACTTGTGATCTCTGTCAAATAAATAAATGAAATCTTTAAAAAAAAAAAAAAGTATCTAGTCCTGGACACATCCCATTTATAAAACTGACCAGGATAAACACAGCAAAAGCTTCGGGAGCTCAATGACAGTGTGGAATCCTGCCCAGGTTTCAGGTTGGCCTCTGGGTAGCTCATGAGCAACAGACCACAAATGAACAGCCAAGGGCTTTGAAAAGTAATTGACATTTAAAATATAGCCCACAGAAGTGGGCCAGGACATGAGTTCTTAATATAAATAGCTTGACTGTCTGCTAAAATAGATATGTAGAAAGGGGAGAGTCTCATAACCCTGTACTCAAAATGCCCAGGATATAATCCAAAATTACTCATAACAAGAGCCCAGAAAATCTCAACTCAGATGAGAAAGGATAATCAGATAGCAGTACTGAGAAAACCAGATGTTGGAATTATCTGACAAGGATTTTGAAGCAGTTATATAAATGCTCCAACAAGCAATTACAAGCACTCTTTAAGCAAATGGGAGAAGTAAAAAAAAAAAAAAAATCTCAGCAAAGACATGAAAAATATATATATATATAAAGAACTAAATGGAAATTTTATAAATTAAAGATGCATTAACTAAAATCAACAAACAACAAAAATAACACGGGATGAGCTCCACAGTGAGTGGAAAATATAGAGGAAAGGATTAGCAAGCTTGTAGATATTTAATAAAATTACCTAATTTGGACAACAAGAAGAAGGTAATTTTCTCTTTTTTTTTCTTTTTAAGCAATCTCTAAGCCCAGCAGGGGGCTCAAAGTCATGACTCCAAGATCAAGAGTCACATGCTCTACAGACTAAGCCGCCAGATGCCCCAGTAATTTTCTTCTTTCAGAAAGGAACAGAATCTCAGGACGTGTGGGACAATAACAAAAGATCTAAACTTTGTGTCAGTGGGGTCCTGAAAGGAGGGGATGTCCACTTTCACCACTTCTAATCAACATAGTGCTGAGTCTAGCTAGAGCAATCAGGAAAGAAAAAGAAACAAAAGTCTTATCCCTATTCACAGATGACACGACCTCACAGACAGAAAACCCAAAAGATCCCACAAACACACAGAAAAGAAACGTTAGAACTACTAATAGGACTAATAGTCCCAGGACTCCGGGATTATAATCTCAGCTGAAGGCAGACTTTTAACCGACTGAGCCACCCAGGCGTCCTGCAATCCCATTTCTGCATATACGCCCAAAAGAATAAAAAACAAGATCTTGAAGACATATTTGTACACCCATGTTCCTAGCAGTATTATTCACAAGAGCTAAAATATGGAGGCAACTCAAGTGTCCATCAATGGATGAATGATTAAACAAACTGTGATGCCTCCATACAATGAAATATTATCCAGCCTTAAAAAAGGAAGGAATATCAGATGCAAGCTACAACATGAATAAACCTATAAGACATTATGCTGAGTAAGATAAGCCAATCATAAGGGCACTTGGGTGGCTCAGTCGGTTGAGCGTCCAACTCTTGATCTCAACTCAGGTCTTGATCTCAGGGTGGTGAGTTCGGGCCCCACGTTGGGTTCCATGCTGGGCGTGGAGCCTGCTTAAAATAATAATAACAAGCCAATCACAAAGGGACAAATACTGTATGATTTCTCTCAGGCCTACACGGAATGGAGAAGAAGCAGCTTCTGAAGTAAATAGCGGAAAGTGTACTGAGTATAAACTAATGACAGTCTCCATAGACCCAAGAGGACTATGACCAAATGGCAAGCATCCACAGGACCCAGATCCACAGACCTCCTTGATGGGACCCAGTCACGCTCCTACCCTCACTGTCTGCTCAGGACCAAACTCAGAGAAGAAGTTCTTTCAGGCTCTTCCTCTCCCAATCTGCACCCCCCAAGACAGCCATGTTTGAACCACCAAGCCTTGACCTGACTTGGGTTCAGGAGAGAGCACAGTGTTGACCCAGCAGACATTTCCCCAGAGGGTGGGGTGGGACCGAGAAAGAATCCTTTCTCTTCCCCGCATCTGAATGAACACCATGAAAATCTGAGCACTCTGGGAGTGGGGGGTTTGGAGCCTACTCTGACTGGAAAGCAGAGAAGTCTAACCACTTGGAAATAGGAGGGAAGCAGACGCCTGGAGAATAAGCATAGGAAGTGAAAAAAGTGCCTTCCAAGGTTCTGGGTGACGTTCCAGTCTGGTGCTGGTCCCTTCCAGGAGTCTGGCTGCTTTCTGGCCTTGGGATCCATGAGGGACTGCTGTGTTCATAGAATGAATTCCTTTCTTTTAAGCTGCCTGGAGTTGATTTCTCTTACTCCCAAAGTTCACAAATCATACAGATTAAAGAGGATTTCAGGATCTTGATCAGGAAGTGAAGCTGTTCTTTAAGAGCAAGGCCTCCCATATTCCCTGTAACTTTGGCCAGGACCTGAGGCCCCCGGTTTTGGACAATGTTCTAGAACACCAAGCTATAGCTCCAGGGGAAAGTGTCAGTCTGAGACATCTGGTATGAGGGGTTATTCCCTGGGAGGAAACCACCCAGATTTCACTCACTACAGGTACTAAATCCTGCAAACAGATCCTCCCAGTTCTGTCTCCAGAGAAACTGAATAAGCTGGACTTTCTAGAGCAATCCCTACTGCAAATGGGCTACCAATATCTGATCCTGTGTCAAAATGTTTGGTGAAGAAATAGGGTCACCATAAATATATTCCAAGAAGTTTCCAAGGGTTTTTCAAAGACATCGCTCTCAAACTCGCTTCTCTTAGCTGGCCCACAGGACTGTGCCCTCACTGGAGGAAGGCCCTGGTGGTCAGGAGAAGGTTCTGGGTAGCAGGCATTTCACAAGGACCAGGGAGTTGGTGCTGTTTGTTTGGAAGCTACAAAGCACCTACTGGATTGGGCTGACTTTTCATACAATATAAATACACAGGAAGAGAACTTACTGTGCGTGTTTGTAGCTGGTTGGCCTCAGTCAAGTTGTGTTAGGTCTCAGATTTAGCTGCATCATCTTCAAACACAGTTCCTCATAAGCAAAGTATGGTACCTGACCCTTGGTAGGTTAAGGGATGCAAACAGATGGTGACAGTTAAGGGTAAACAACTGAATAGATCACTAAGCTTCTATGAGTGAAAATTTTCAGAGTCATCAAAGGCCATCCAATGAGTTCACTT